GGGCTAACTACAGTGGAACAGCAAAGAAGTTGAAATGAGGAAGGGCCGGCCGTAGTCAAGGCAGGCAGCGAATGACGAGAAACGGGGTGGCCATGGCTTTGATGTAATGGCGTGACAGATGTTAAAATAGAATCTTGGAGAGCTCCAGTATGACAAGAGGTGGGAGAACTCCCTTTCTGCTGATGGCACATAAACCCCTCTCTAGCAAATGTGCCCCCCACACCAGAACATGTCACTGTTCTGTCTCATTGGCCACTGGTCAGTTGTGGGATTCTGGCCCTCCACGGGATCTCAGTCAGTTGAATGATGACCCCAATAAAAGAATAAAGAAGTGAAGGGAGGACCAGATAAAGCCCCATTTCAGCCTGAGTTTTGCTGATAACAGTGACAGAACAAAGGATGAAGTGCCCTGGATTATATACTATTGTGACTTTGTTTAACTTGGTGAAGACAGTTGTTTAGCTGGGATAAAGGGAGTATGTTACTTGGTCATAAACAAGTAAATGAGCGAAGAAACGTCTTGGCCTTCGAAGTGATTTATAGTTGCGAAGCTGTTACTCAGAAGAGCCTATAAATGCCTTGCCACACAGGCAGGACAAATCTGACTTTCTCCTTTTGATGAATAATGAAAGCGCAGTTGAGATAACTTAAATCACTAGGTGCATTGCTCGGAGTAGGGGGACAGGGATTTAACCCAGCGCTCTCCCAGACCTCCGCTGCTCACTGTGTGGGGGAGGGGTGGCTTCTACTCACATTTTCAACCCGGTCCACTCCTAAATGCATCTTCTTTCAACCCGCTTGCCTATAACTAACATTCGGCCTTGCTTTGTGTTGCGTTTTAATTTTGTGCAAATTCCATGATGAAACATATAACACAAATACATCTTCTCCCACAAACAAAAGCATCCATTTATCCCACCTCCTATGACTGTCAGAAATCCATGCCTTCCTTCTTGCCCTTCTGGTCACTGCTCTTCTTGTCTATTTCTTTCCCTGGTGTGTGTGGGGGGGCTGTGTGGTTTCCCTGGCTTTGTGTCTCTCCTCTCTTCTTCCTTTTCCCCCAGGACCCCAGAGTTCTATTCTTTGGAGTCTACCCGCTCTTTCCTTCCAGGGCTCTGCCCCCACCCTATCCCAGGAACCCACTAAAGAGCTAACTGACAGCTGTGGCGGCTCCCACTGTGGGATTTAAGCAAGTTCCTTAGGAGATCATCAGCACACACATTCTATGATTTAGCTCCATCTCACCAAACACTCTGGTCTTCATGGCTAACCCATCCATTTCTGCTTTCTGGGTGTGACTTTCTTTTTTCTTTTTTGTTTGGGGGTGTGGGGGTGCCTGATTTCTCCAGGCAGTTTTTCAAGCCTCGTGTGTCTGCTATAATTTTCCCTCTGCCATTGTGGCAAAACCTCGCTAAGTTTTCCTTTGCAGGCTTATCTGGTGCTCTATTATAGCCACATTTCCCACTGGCTTAGCCTTCTGAATTCTTTGGCTTTTACTGCAGGATGGGTGCGGAAGGAAGCTTCAGAACACTTCTGGTTGGGGGACTCCTGACTCAGAGGCCGCTGTGGTCCAGCATTGGGTTTGTAGGGAAGCTGCCATAGCCATGTTGTATAGAAAGTGCCAAGGATTTAGGCGCTTGCCCATAGATTTCCATCCCTATTTTAATCCCAGACCATACAATGATCTAGCTGCTTCGTTTTACAGATAAGTAAACAGATCCCATGGCAAGATGATGGGCTGAAAGGAGGAACCAATGTCTGAGGTTTTGCTCATTGTCCTGGGTCAAATCTATATGGATTCTCCTGATCCCCACCCCAGGCTTCCCAAAACACTTTCTGTCTCTGGGTGCTCTTGCTTTTCTATATGAATACACACAGACACATTCTGACTACCACACTCAGGCCCAACTCTGGAATTATAGGGTGCAGAGTAAAGTAAAAAGTGGGGTCCAGCTGGGGTTATTCCCACGAATATGCCGCTGTCTGGACCCATAGTGGATAGATAGGCGATTTTCCAGGGAATTCCAGCCTAAGTGCAGGAGCCCTGGGTCACTGGGTGGAGTGTGGGTAAGAGGCCCTTGCTCAGCTGCCCACTGAACAAGCCACGGCACCACACGTTGAGGAGAGACAGCCACGCCTTGCCCCGTGTGAGACATCTTGGGGTGCACACCCATCTTGGGTCCTGTCTGTGCCTGCATCCATGTCAAGGCAGATTAGCAGCAGAACATGGTGCACTAACATGTCAGACAGAGAGCAGCTGGAAATGGGACGGGAGACCAGACAGAGGTCAGGGGCCAGGATCAGGGACACATACATAGGAGCCATGCCTGGGAGATGGTGGGAGTTAGACCACATGAAGCCTCCTGTGAATGCCCATCTGACTTGACTAACAAATGCAATCATGTGTTAGGAATCTCACGATGAGCTGGGCATAGGGGCACACGCCTTTGATCCTAGCACTTGGGAAGCAGAGGCAGGTGGATGTCTGTGAGTCTGAAGCCAGCCTGGTCTACATAGCAAGTTACAGGCCAGCCAGGACCCTGTTGGAAGAAAAGAAGGAAAGAGGAAAGGAAGGGAGGGTAGGAGGAGGGAGGGAGGGAGAGAGGGAGGGAGGAGGGAGGAAGTGAGGGAAGGAAGGAAGAAAGGAGGGAGGAAATGAGGGAAGGAAGGGATATCAAGACAGCAGAGCATCAAATCCAAGCCCAGAGCTCTCTGCAGCAACCATGTGCCTATTCAGCCCCTGTGTGTATGGTACTCAGGCCAAGCTCTGGGATTTAGAAGGTCCAGAGAAAACGAGAAGTGGGCTCAACTGCAGGCTCCTTAAGGACAGTATATTGCTCCCAAATGACCCTCTAACCGCCACCATTCAGTGTCACATGAAGCTTATCCCTGCCTTCTTCCTGCTCCCGGCAGCCCTTGGACTCCATCAGCTCAGCTGTTCTTAAAGCCTCAGTCTACAGATGCGAGTGAAGACGAGAGGCCCGCCTCCCACAGCAGCATCCCGAAGCTTGTGTTTAGATACAGGCTGCCGTGGCTTGGCTTCCTTATTGGCTTAGGATGGCCAGGCATGTCTTCTCCAGGATTACAGTAGGTAACGTTCTGATACAGAGGCGGCATGCTCGGTAAATGAGCCAGGACCAGGCACGGATCCATGTCTTATCTGCATGATTATTAGCCTATTTTAACTCAAAGCACCCTGGTTTGTTTCCTCTTAAGTAAAATTAAATAAGAGCAATCTTATTTTGATGGCATAAACTAGAGACCAAGACCACTCGCCTTATAGAAAACAATCATAAAAGTACATGGGGGAAATAACAGCTGTATGGAAATCTAACCAGATCCGTAACTTTGCGGAAGCACACAGCCTGTACTCTCTCTGTTAAAGAAGGGAATTAGCAAGCACTTAACAATGATCCCCCCCCCCCCCCACACACACACACACACACTTCTCTTTGATTTAATCTTCAAGGGGATAGTTCTGTGACATTGCATTCCATGTTGTTTAACTGGTCCCTGTATCAGTGAATGTCATCTCTTGTACTCTGGTCTGCTTGTCATACTTTGAGAAATACCGAACAGGCGGCCAAGAAGCGGGCGAGCCAAGATCTGTGTTCATGGACCAAGACTGCGAAAAATGTGAAGCCCAAACAAACCAATCCGGAATATCATCTCTGGACACAAGGGCTGAAAGAATGCAGACCAGTTGCCCCCCCCCCCCCAAGGGATGGTCTCCGGGTAGAGCACAGGCTGGGTGCTGTGGCCCAAATGGGCTTCATCACATTAACAGTGATCAGGTTTTTAATTAAAGGTGCTTGACTCAAATGGGAATTTTTTTTTAGGACATTTATTCAATAGTCTTCGTCCCTTCATGCATTTAAAGCTTTTCTTAGGATTTAATAGAAAAGGGAAAACGAGATTAAAGGAAAAAATATTTGCTGGAGCAAAAGACTCACCACATGCCGGTCAGCTGCATGAGCCTGCCTGAGCGGCCCAACCACTGACACATATAGGAACTTAATGACAGACACCTCTGGATCCTTCTGGAGCTTACACGTGCCAGATCAATGCACCAGCCGGGGGTGGGGCTTCTCTCCTTCACTTACAGATGGCTGTCCTCTTCCTGTCCTCATACTTCCCTGCAGGCATGTCTGCATCTTGAATTCCTCCTCTTACAAGGACACCAGTGATGCTGGATTAGGATGTGCCACAATACATCCTATTTTTTTTTAATTCAGTTAACATTTTAATTTTAATTCAGTTACTTTTTTTGTTTGTTTGTTTGTTTGTTTGTTTTGTTTTGTTTGAGACAGGGTTTCTCTGTGTAGTTTTGGTGCCTGTTCTGGATCTCGCTCTGTAGCCCAGGCTGTCCTCGAACTTACAGAGATCTGCCTGGCTCTGCCTCCTGAGTGCTGCGATCAAAGGCATGCGTCACCACCACCGGGCAATTCAGTTACATCTCAAAGATTCTATCTTCACCATACAGCCACATTTGAATTTGGGACACACCCACAGCTCAGCTCCTAACAGGGGCCTTAGGAGTCTCTTGACTCCTCTCCTTGCTGATTCTGATGCCCCATCCTCCTCTTCCCGACACCCCTACAGTTTCCTGATGGCTTTCTTACGTATTCTCCAGCTTTGCTGTCTTCGACTCCCACGTCCTGTAATCAGCCCCCTGAACTTCCCCCTGTCCTCAGCACTTCAGCTCAGCCTTTCCTGCTGCTGGTGGATACACCTATCTTTGGGTCTTCCATTCAGCCTTATATTCCATAGCTGTTTGCAGCTCAAATTTCGGACTCATGGCAACATTCAAAGACATCGCTCATCTCAGATCCAGCCATTAAACGCCTCCATCTTGTCTTGGCTATGTCTACCGTAGACATCACCAGCATTCCTTTGCTCATTTTTTTTTTCCCGAGACAGGGTTTCTCTGCGTAGCTTTGCACCTTTCCTGGAACTCGCTTTG